TGGACACCCTAACAGTCCCATCATTGAACTAAAAGTGTATTTAGAATGTCGGATCCATGTCCTGAAAATGTTTCAAACATGTTTTGACATGTTTAAACAGTTTCAACACATGCTTTAGACATCTGGACAGTATTTGGCAACATGCTTCCTCTCCATTGATCGTCCTCCAGAACAATAACAGCTCTCACACCCATGCCAAAATCTGCGCTGCGCAGAAGAACAGCACACCCACCGAAGCTGCGCCCGCGCCATGCGCCACGCTGCTCACCCCGCCCCCGTTTGGGCCCCGAGGGCGCCCCACTGCCCCAGTGGGAAAAGCACGCACGCGTGGAAAACACACACACACACACACACACACACACACGTGTTTTCTGCTTATCCCCTGGCGAACCTGACGCCTTCGGCCCTTGTTGCCCACGCGCGTGTTGTCCCCTGGCGAGCCCGACGCCCTCCGTGCGCGTCGGGCGACGCGCGCGTGGCGCACGTGGCACACCTTGGCACCTCGGGCACCACGCCTGGCACGGGCCAGGCCCGTGGGGCACTGGGCACGCGTGCGCACACCCCGCGCGAGCGCCGCACACTGGTCGGCGTCAGCAGTTCTCGGCGTCCGGTCAGTGTCCATCCGATGGCGACCTCTGCCTCTAGGCTTAGGTCGGGCAGACAGCTTGCCGCGTTCAGTGGGAACTTGACCATTGCTCCTCACAGCAGGCGATGAGTCGACCCATATCCCAGGCTTTGGGAGGTGTTCGCACGGGCCAGGACTCTGGTGCCCAACCCTGGGATATACGATGGGGGGGGCGTCCATCCTCGATAGGGGTGCGTCTGGATGGCCCCCATGGGGTCATGTATCCCAGGGTTTCCCCCTTCTGCTGAACGGCCAAACTTTTCGGGGAACACTCGGGGAGTGGGGGAGAAATATCGCCTGCGACCTCGATCTGCACCCCTTCCCCCCAGCCCGACTGGCGACAGATCCAGGACAGTGCGGCCCCCACGGGACGTGAAAACGACCACAACCACTGCTTCTGTTTCGGCCGGCTGGAAACAAAGCAGTGGTTGTGGTCATGTTCGTTGAGCTTGGCACCAGGGACATGACCACAACCACCGCTTCTTCTTCTTCTTCGGCCGGCTGGAAGGCGGCGCAAACAAGAAGCAGTGGCTATGGTCATTTTCCCGTCCCGCATCTTGTCACTTAGTGCACATGGGGTTGGGTACGTTGCCGTGTATTGTTGTCCGGTGGGTCGTGGCATCGAAGGTTTGGATTTGGTTTCTCGCGTTCGCCTGGGGCCGTTGCTTCGGATGTGCTTGCCCAAATTCGTTCGCAGGGGATCGCGACCTCGAGGCTGCTGTTCCGTAGTTTTGTACATGGGCCAGCCCGAAGTTTGTTTAATATCGTTCTGCGTGGCACCACCAGCCCAGCCAGAAACGATGCGCAGGCAATTTGTCTTGAGCATAGATGTGGAGGAGCACGCAGTGGCTGTGGTCATTTTCCCGTCCCGCAGCCCCCCACCGCGGGCCATCCCTGCCCACGAGAGCCGCGCGAGAAGTGCACGCTGCGGCAGCGGCAGGCGCTGTGCACCGTGCGCGGGCGCGCCCCGTGGGACCGCTCCTGCCCCGGTGCTCGCGGATGACGGTGAGGCGGGCCCTAAGGTGAAGTCGGGCATGTCCCCCGTACAGGGAGATGTTGGACGAAAAAAACAGACTAAACATACTTTTAAATTGGCAGAAATGATCAAAACAAATCCTCCCCAGGTTATTTTTGGACTATTTTTGGATATTCCTCCTGTAGAGGGACAGGCCCGACTCAACCCTAATGTAGGGGAACGAACACTGACATAAGCATACAAACTTGGGGTTCCGCGCGGATTTCTCGGATCGGCGCTGGGGCCCCCTGGCGGCGCCTCCGGCGCCGTCCCTGGCGAGCCGCGCGCGCAAGGGAGGGGGGTCCAGCGCGGATCCAAGAAATCTGCGCGGACCTCCGAGTTGCTATGTTTATGTCATCTCTCGCTCTGCGCATGTTTACGTCTATGTGTGTGCTTAGGTTCATGCTGCTGCTTACAAGTATGGTTATGTTTATGCTGTATGACCATGCTTTATGTCCATGTGTATGTGCATGTCTATGTTCATGCTTGTGAATTATGCTATATGACTATGCTTATGTCTGTGCTTATGGTTATGTCTGTGCTTAGGGTATGCATATGATTATGTTTGTGCTTCTGATATTGTCCGCGCTGTGTAGGCCTGCCGTCCCTGCCAAAACACACTGCAGCCACCCTCCGCGGCAACATCGCGGGCGCGCCTGCCGATCACGCCGCAACAGCTCTCGGCAGGGACGGCGGCGGCGCCCCCAAAACGCCCGCTCTGCGCAGAGCCCCCCGCCAACGCTCGCAGTGCGGCATGCTCACCCGCCAAGTACAGCGCTGCGTGGCCCCATAGGGAGCTCCACCGAAGCCCCCAGTGGGACCGCCCGCATGCGTCCCCCCCCCCCACACACACACACAGAGAGAGAGAGAGAGAATTTGGCGTTACCGCCCACCCAGTACAGAGCTTCGTGGCCCCATAGGGAGCTCCACCGAAGCCCCTCGGGTACGGGGGACTCGGGTTGGCCTCACGGGGGCCGCCATAAAAAAATGACGAGGCCCAATCCGAAACCTCACGCGGGCCCCCGCTGCAGACGTCCCCCGAGAACGGGACCCTCAGAATCCACGACGCGCTCGTCAGCGAAAAAACGGGGATCTTCTGACCCGGGTCAATCCAAACCCGGGTCAATCAGGCCTGCAAAATCCTGCAAGATCCTGCACCCAAACCCGGGTCAATGCGAAGGATCCTGCAAAATTCTGCAGGACCCTGCACCCAAACCCGGGTCAATGCGACCCCGGCCCTGCAGGATCCTGCCAGATCCCGCGCTCTGGCTGACCCCCGTTTGCGTTGACCCCCGTCTCGAGGCTCCCGAAAAAGTCGGCAAGCCCGAGTTCCGGCTCGCTCGTACATGGGCCACCGCTGCCCAGGAGGCCGCCGCCCGGCGGGGAAGTTCGAGGGTGCGAGGCGGTGGCTTCTCTCCCACGCGGGCCGTCTTGAGCCCGTCCTCGGGCCGTCTTGATCAATGAGGGAGGAGGAGGAGGAAGAGTGGGAGGAGGAGGAGGGGGAGGAGGAGGTGGAGGAGGGGGTGGAGGAGGAGGAGGAGGAGGAGGGGGAGGAGGAGGAGCAGGAGGAGGAGGAGGACGTGCCCCCGAAGCACAAACTGCAACGTACACGCTGTGGCGCAGGCCGGCCCACGCGCGGGCGCCCCGCGGGGGGCCCCCATGTGGGCTGCCGCGCGCAGGCTCGCGATCCCTGACAGAGCCCATACACAGTGCACGGGATCATGGAAGGGGCCCCAGGACACACAAATAAATACGCACAGATTAAAGGATGCCCCGTATTTTCCAATATTTTCTGGGTTTCTGTCTTCCCCCCTCACTTCCCATCTTTTCCCATATTTTCTGGGGAGTCGACGATTAATTGTGTCTGTGTGTTTTTTCCCCTCCTGAATCATGCGCGGGCGCCCCGCGATCGCTCTGCACTGGTCTTTGGCGTGGGCGGCGGGGAAGCCCTCATACTGTCTGCCCTGTGCCTCCGACGGGGCTCACGAACTCAGTGGCATCAGGGCCCCAGGCTAGGATGCTGCATGTGTGCAGGGAGGGCGGGTGAGAGTGGGTGACACGCCTTGCGGCTTGGGGCATCTTGATCACCAGGGAGACGTAAGACTTGAGTTCGAGGGTCTCGGGTTGGCCTGACGGGGCCGTCGCAAAAATGACGAGACCAAATCTGAAGTTTGACGCAATCTCCCGCTGCAGACATCCCACGAAAACTCGAGCGTCAAAACCCAGGACGCGCTGGTCAAAAAGATTCGGCATGCCCGAGTTCCAGCGTTCTCGAGTCTTACGCTTCCCCGAAAGAATCGCCCCCTCCCCCGCCCGACCGGCAGCCCACCCGCGCCCATGCCGACCCCCCCCCCCGCCACCCCTGCCAAAAAAAGCAATACGAAGTACACTGCGCCTCCAAGCCTGGAGTATGCGCGGCGCGGGCGCCACGCGACAACCTTGCATTGGTTCTTGCTAGGGACGGCGGGGGTGCTCTCAGATGTTGCTGGCTGCGCGCAGGCCCACAACACCCTGCCGCAGCACGACAGGCGGGGCACTTTGCCTCCAAATCTGGAGCATGTGCGGGCGACCACTTAGCAAGCATTCGCTGAGTGACAGGGATACGCGGGTGCTACTCATGTGTTGGAAGGGTTAGGTCGGGCCTGCCCCCCTACAGGGGGATTTGTCGAAAAATCAGGAATACCAGCAAAAATCGCCAAAAGATTCAAAAATCTACTTCATAGAAGGGCGGGCGGGAGTGAGAAGGCTTGTGCCCTGTGGGCAGGAGGTGCCTTGACCCCTCCCCCCATACCAGGGCTGAACCTAAACGGTATTGTTCGTTTTCGTTGTGTGTTCGTTTTCCCTCGTTTTGTCTTCAACCCACCTCTACCGCAAAACGAAGCCGAAACGAAAACGGCCCACGAAATCGCCAGAACACCGTTCAGCTCCAGCCCTGCCCCATACCCCCCTTCCCAGGGGGCCTGGGCGGGGGCGGGGCCCGTGGGGACCCTCACCCCGCCCACCCCTCCAAAATGCCCGGAGAGACCCCAAGAGGTCCGTGGGTCCGACCATGCTGCCGTCCCTGCTGCCCCGTGGGCGTATCCACCTCCCCTGTATCCCTTACAGTCGGGGCGTTGACCTAGGGAACCCTAAATGAGGAACGAGGCCCCTTTTTTCCATGAGTTAAACTTCGATTTCGTACCGAAAACCTAAGGAAAACCCGAGGCAAGCTGCGAAACACTTAAGGAACACCCAGCCCCTCCCCAACGAAAAGGGCTCCTTCTTCAGGGCCCCGACCGTATCCCTTGTCCTCGCCCGCTACCCGTTCCTCCCCCGTTGCTCTCGCCGCCTTCCTCTTCCCGGCGGCCGCGGCATCGCGTCCTGGGCGGCGCCCCACATCGTGGCCATGGCTCTCGGAGCGCAGAGGCTCGGTGACCAGCGGCAACCAGCGGCAACGACGGCGGGCGCTGCTTGAGGAAAAAAAAGAGAAGGCAGCACTGCATCATAGAACGGCAGTACATCTGAGCGAATTGGAATCATGACCGAGCCGCTCCCCTGAGCAAGCACTCGCGCAGATACTCCCGAAACTGCCATGGCCAGCAAGGTACCATTCCTGACGCCGGTAATGCCGCAAAACAAGTCCGTGCTCGTACCCTCGTGCTCGACGGGGGGGCACTTTTCGAGCCATGTCTTGCGCGCGGGGACTGTGCTCTCGAGGCCGCCGAAGGCTGGGGAGTGGCAAACAAGAGAAAGAGAAACAGCGATCAATGAGGCAGCTTACCCCCCCCGACCCCCACGCGAAACTGACCTTCACCTTGGCCCGCCCACCGCCTACCGATTAGCAAACGGAACGCTCATGGCGAGAAGGCCAACGAGCAGAAGGAGCAGCAGACGGGGGCAGCATGAGCGGGAAAACCAACACACAGCCCTGGGGAAGGACGGATGGGGGCCGGGGCGGCGGCAGTGGCAGACGGAGTTGCCCGTGGAGGCCGCAGGCTTTGCCGCCGACATCTGGCCGCGCTGATCCCCTGACCCTGTCCGCTGCGAGCAGCGGCGGCGAGGGGAAGCCCTCGGCGTGCCCTTCTCTCGGGCCTCTTCATGTCGCACCCTCACGGCTGATCTCAGGTCGGGCATGTCCTCCTAGAGGCGGACATTGGAAGAAACATGAAACACGGGCAGAAACGAAGAATCGGAAATGGCAAAAAATTGTAGAGAAAACTTGCCCCCTGACTATTTTTGACTGCAGCGGCTGCAGCGACAGGTCCACGCCTGGCTTTATGCTCAGGTCGGGCCTGTCCCCTTACAGGGGGATTTTGGACGAACAATCATAAAATAGTTTAAAAAAATACTCCAACAAAAAAAATCAAAGTACGAAAAGCATCGTCCTCATACTATGTTTCGAATATGTTTGGATCTTCCTCCTGTAGAACGGGCGTGCCCGACTCGAGGCTGACCTCCCCTGCCCGCTGCGCGGCGCCGCCGCGGCCGAGTCCTGGGGGAACCAACGAGGTGCCGATGCCGCTATACAGTCAACCCGTAGAGTAAGGATGCGCGACAAGGATGCAAGACCCTTGGAAGCCCATTTCGAAGTTTTCGAGCGGGGCGCACACCAGCGAAAGTGGCCAAGGATGCACCGAGGAGGCAAGGATGCAGGAGCACCCTTGGGAAGGTTGCCCGTCCTTACTGTGCGGGTTGACTGTGCTCCCCGGACCTCTCCCGGGGCGCCTTCTGACCAGGACCTCGAGGCGAACCCAGCGGTGGCGACGAGGGCCCCCGCGGAGGGCCCAAGAAGGGGAAAACGGGGAAAGGGCAGATGTATGAGCCATTTTCTGGAGGCCTGGAAATGGGCACCAACACCAACACAGGGGGGTGCCTCCACAGGGGGAAAAGATGATCCTGGATCTCGGCGTTGGCGGTAATGTTTCGGCCACCCTGGAGGCCAGAATAGTACCACCATCACCGAGATCGGGATCCCCTTTCCTCTGTGGAGGCACACCGAAGATATTGGTTTTGGTGTCAACCTCTAGGCCAGCGACACTTTCTCGTTAAAGGCTGAACGACTTCTGCCATCATTCGACTCACGCTAGAGCGGCCGCAATTTGCTCCAACTGTCCCTGAAGATCTCCTGATTTACCTGGACTTATTCGGATTTACCTGAATTTACCTAGATTGATCTGCATTTACCTGGATTTGTCTGCATTTACCTAGGTTTATCTGGGTCGATCCCCACAAGTCGATTGGCGAAGAGTCCTCAAGCCCTTAGGGAATTTCCCCCTCTGAAATCCGAGGCGGGCGGGCGCCGTGGCTGTGAACAGCACCCTGACGGGCGCCCCGAGAGGCAGCACGTTCACCTCCTCTCGGATCGGGCGAAAGAGGGGGATAGCAAAGGGGGGGGGTGAGAATCTGCTCACGTAGCTGATTCTCCCGGCGCCTCCCGGCGCCGGAGGCGGCTATGTATCGAAGAATGGGCCCCTCTGTGGGGCCGAAACCAGCTACATGCAGCAAATTCCGTACCCCCCCTTTCCCAATCCCCCCCTTTCGTCCGGCCCGATCCTCGTACACGCGGCCGCGCCGCGCGAGCAGCCCCGCGCCCCCGCCGGCGACGCCGCCCGCGCCCGCGCAGCCGTCCACGCTCAGCACCGGCTGCAGCGACAGGGCCAGGCCTGGCGTGCTGCTTAGGTCGGGCCTGTCCCCCTGCAGGGGGAGCTTGGACGAAAAATGATCGAATATGTATAAAAGAATACTCCAGACATGCCCCGAAGTAGTAAAAAAAAACATCGTCCACATACCATGTTTCGACGCTTTTTGAATACCCCTCCTGTAGAGAGGGACAGGCCCGACTTACACTTCAGGGCCACATCCCAGATCCCAGAGATGAGTTCGAGCACCCAGAAACAGCATCGAAACCGTGTCGGACGAGTAACTATCGCCTCCGAGGGCCCGAGACACGTGAAAGCCATGACATGTCGACACGTTCCTGGTGCTCAACAGTCTTTCCCGTGGTCAAGGCTAAAACAGGTTGGAACATCATAAGCCTGGCTCCTCCAGCGCACAGGGGAAGCCGAGGGGCACCTCGCACCGCACCTCTCGAGGAAGAAAAGAAAACGGCATACACACGTATTTTGTTGGCGCTGGGCGCGGGATTTCTTAGATCTACGCTGGACCCCCCTCCCGGGCGCGCGGAGCCAGGGGCGGCGCCGCAAGCGCCGCCAAGGGGGACTTCAGCGGCAATCCAAGAAATACACGTCGTTCATTTCTGATCATGGTCATTTCTAATTGTGCTCGTTTCTAGTTGTTCCTGGCCCCGTAGTGGCCAGTAAGAGGCTCAGGATAGAACAATCAGAAATGAAAGGATCTTCGCCTCAAAGGAATCAAAGAACTCTCGAATAATTAAACATGAACAATGTGTACACGAGGAGCGTCGAAAATTTACGTTCATGGCGTTTTTTCTTCTTCGAACCTCGCAGCGCCGGGGGGCAGAGCCTTCCAAGCCCGACCTCCTGGAGACCGTTCTTTTTTTGAATCGGCGATAACCCGGGGGGGGGGGGGAGGAGGGGACCGGCCGATATTCTGACCCTCGCGCTGTGGGCAGCCCTGCATATGCCCGCGCCCCCCTCCCGCGGCCCTGCACAACCGGCAAGGTTGGGTTATCCTGGGGGGGGGACCCAGAGATCCGACGTCGTGATTTTTTCAATACGGGATCCCCGGAGGTCTCGACCCATCCTCCAGGACCGGTTTTTCATCCTGAGTCGTTTTTTGACGGTCCCAGGGCCCGGCGAGGGCCCCTCGAGGCCGAAAATTGCGAAAAACCCGCGTCTTGATGTTTTCAACACGTTGGATCTCTGGGGAGAGGGGGGGGGGGGGGGCAAGCCCGACAACCCGAGCGATCGCCCGACCCTCCAAACAAAAACAGTCTCCTGCCGCACTCGGCGTCGGGCAGGGGCACGGCGACGGTGCTCTGCAGGTGCCCCGGGCCGGCCCCGCCGCCCGCCACGCACGGGTACTCGAGCCGCAGGGCGAGGCCTCCCCGCACGCTGGTCGCCACGCGCACCACGAGCCTGCCGCCCAGCGCGGCCGAGAAGCGCACCGGCAGCACGGGCTCCGGCGCCTCCTCCCTGCACCCCGCCTCTATCGGGTCGGGCGAAAGGGGGGGATAGCAAAGGGGGGGGTTGAGAATCAGCTCACGTAGCTGATTTTCCCGGCGCCTCCCGGCGCCAGGAGGCGCCCATGTATCGAGGAATGGGCCCCTCGGTGAGGCCGAAACCAGCTGCATGCAGCAAATTTCGTACCCCCCCCCCCTTTCCCAATCCCCCCCTTTCGCCCGGCCCGACTCTAGGCAAGCGCGCTCCACTGCGCGCAAAGCAACGACTCGCAAGTGGCCGGGTTCCGCCGTGAGGGATCTACGATAAATTGCATCGGAGCAGGCAGGTGCTTGTCAGATGTTTGCGAGTACTGGCCATGGCTCGGACGTCCATTCCCTGTGCCTTCTTCGATGTCGTGCGTGGTTTTTTTTTTGCCAAATGATCAAAGATGCTCCTCGATGGTCCTCGCCGACAGAAAAATGCACACGTCCGAGCGACGCCAAGAGTAGGCACTTTGCGAGCCGTGGAGCGCGCTCGGCGAGCCTCGGCACCCCCCTCCGCAGCGGCAGCCGCCGCCCCGAGCGCGCGCGGCCGGCCGGCGCCCTCCGCGCCGCAGACGTGGCACTCGTGCGCCTCGACGCGGGCCTCGGGGCCGAGGACGCCCTGGAAGTAGGCCCGGGAGAGCTCTGGCAGGAAGGCGGCGGGGGCTCGTCTGGCGGCGCCTGCAGCCTCGCCGGGGCCGGCGCCGAGCTCGCTGCAGCACCTGGCCAGGTCGCCAGAGAAGCCCTCGCAGGGCGCCAGGAGGCGCAGGGAGAGCAGCCGGAACGCGAGCAGGACCTGGGGGAAGCCCGAGGGCGCGCCATGCCAGCGGAAGCAGTGCATGAGCCGCGAAGTGGCGACGTGCACGCGGGAGCCGTGCCGCAGCAGCACCTCGGCGTCTCCGTCCTCGCAGTGCGCGAGCGCCTCCGCCGCGGCCAGCAGCAGCTCCGCCCAGGCGGCGACAGCGCGGAGGTGCCCCTCCCAGCAGACCTCGTCACCGCTGGAGCGGCGGGCGGCGCGCAGGCAGGCGCGTCGCAGGTGCCGCAACCTTCGGCGGTGGACAAACCTCCCTTTAGTAGACCTCCATGTGGTGAAAACGGCCCAGGACCGAGAACAACGGACCTGGACCCACAAAAGTGACGGCCGCGACGCCCCCTCGCGAACCGAAAACGGCCAATTCGCTAATGGACGCGTCGGGGTAATTAGGAGGTCCGTCTGCCCCCGAAACCTGCGCAGGCAACCTCGCGGCGGGGGGGCGACGCCCCCGCCGCCCGACCCGTGGCGCACGCCCGCGTAGCAGTCTGCCAGGCACGCCGCCCACGCCGCGACGGAGGTGGCCCCCGCTCTGCCGCCGCCGGCGCTCGCCGGCCCGGGGTCGATGCCTGGGATGCAGCTGCAGAGCGCGGGGCGCTCCCCGGCGGCGGCGCGCAGCAGCTCGCGGAGCCGCTCGACCCGGAGGCTGTTGAGGTGCAGCGGCGCCACGCCCATGTCTGGTGGGCCTGTTCTCCACCACCACCACACGTTGGAGGGGGAGGGGGTCCTCCTCCTCCTGCTCCTCCTCCTCCTCCTCCTCCTCCTCCTCCTCCTCCTCCTCGCCCTCGTCCTCCTCCTCCTCCTCCTCCTCCTCCTCCTCCTCCTCCTCCTCCTCCTCCTCCTCCTCCTCCTCCTCCTCATCCTCCTCATCCTCCTCCTCGCCCTCGTCCTCCACCTCCTTCCCCCCGCCAACTTCTGGTGGCGGTGGTGGCAAAGAGGCCCACCCATGTCCCCCGCCGCGGCCAGGGAGGCGCCCGCCGTCTGGCTCGCCCTCGCGGTCTCGAGGAACAGCCTGTGGCCCAGGGCCCGGCACTGGCCGCCGCCCACGCGGCGGCCGGCGCACCCGGAGGCGTCCGCCGGCTCCAGGGCGCGCGCGTGCTTGCGCCCCAGCCGCCTCAGCGCCTCTCTGAGGAGCCCCTCGTCGGCACCGCGCGCAGAGTCGCCGGCCTCCAGCAGGAACGCGATGGCCCTCTCGAGGGCGTAGCCGTCCCCGAAGCGCGCCTCGCACAGCAGCCTCAGCACCAGCGAGCGGTCCGAGTGGAACGCCTGCAGCACGCTCGGCAGCTCGACGGAATCCTTCGTCAGCTTCTCGCCCTCGACCCTCCAGCGCAGGGCAACGCTGTGAGTGCGCATCAGATCCATCAGCATCTCGGCGGCGGCCTCGCGAACGCAGCTGTCGTCGTCGCTCAAGCACATTGTAGCCAGAGCTGCCAGGCGCTGAAAGATACCCTCCAGGGCCTTGCTGTACTTCAGCTCCCGCCTCCGCGTGCCGCTCAGGAGAACGTGCCACGCGGCTGCGCGCACGCTCGCCATTTCATCGTCAAGAGCGAAATAGAGCGCGCCGTGCCAGCGGACAGGCTCCAGCATATCACTGTGATCCTCATCCACAACTTGCTGCTCAAAATCCGCCGACCCCTTGGGGATCATCGGCGTGTGAGATGCTTCCCCCTCCCCAAACCCCTCCCCCGGGAGCCCGGTCCGGTCGATTTGGAGGGGGGGGGGGTCCGGCACGAGCGCGGGGGGTCCGGGACGAGCGCAGCACGGCCAGGACGAGCGGTTCACGGGGCCTTTCCGAGCCCACGAGGGCCTCAAGACGGGCCAAGAAGCCCCCAAGAGGCCTCCAAGACGGCCCACGCAGGCCCCGAGACGCCAAACGACCGCTCCAAGACGCCCAAGATGGCCCCAAGACGGGCCAAGAGGTCTCCAAGACGGCCCCCGAGGTCCCAAACAAGCCTCCCAAGAGGGCCCCAAGAGTCTAAAATTGTTGATTTTCCATGGTGTTTTTCGATGGTTTTTTTCTTTTCCGCCTTCCCGGCTTCCCGACGCTCCAAGACGGGCAAAGAGGCCCCAAAGATAGCCCCAAGATGGCCCAAGAGGCCCCCAAGACGGCTTCCAGACGGCCCAAGACGGCCCCAAGACGGCCCAAGAGGTCCCCAAGACGGCCCAAGAGGGCCGATTTGGAGGGGGGGGGGGGGGGGTCCGGGACGAGCGCAGCACGGCCGGGACGAGCGGTTCACGGGGCTTCTCCGAGCCCAAGAAGGCCTCAAGACGGGCCAAGAAGAAGCCCCCAAGAGGCCTCCAAGACGGCCCACGCAGGCCCCGAGACGCCAAACGACCGCTCCAAGACGCCCAAGATGGCCCCAAGACGGGCCAAGAGGTCTCCAAGACGGCCCCCGAGGTCCCAAACAAGCCTCCCAAGAGGGCCCCGAGAGTCTAACATTGTTGATTCTCCATAGTGTTTTTCGATGTTTTTTGCTTTTCCGCCTTTCCCGCTTCCCGACGCTCCAAGACGGGCAAAGAGGCCCCAAAGATAGCCCCAAGATGGCCCAAGAGGCCCCCAAGACGGCCTCCGGACGGCCCAAGACGGCCCCAAGATGGCCCAAGAGGTCCCCAAGACGGCCCAAGAGGGCCCCAAGACGGCACCAAGAGGGGCCCAAGAGGGCGACCACACATGTTCAAACTCTAGCTTTCTGCCCCCAGGAGCCCCAGAGGGCACCAAGATTGCCCCAAGAGGCTCCCAGAGGCCCTCACGAGGCCGCCCAGACGCCCCAAGGAACACCCAAGAAGCACCCCAGAGGCTCCGAAACGGCCCCCAAGTGGCTCCAAAACTCGCTTCCAGAGGCCCCCGAGAAGCGATCCGCGAGATCCCGATACACATACAAGAAGCCTCTCACCCTTAACCCATAACCCAGAGCCGTTTCTCCGTGTTCGCACATGGCCAGGCCAAGTTGACCCATCATGACTCCTGGGCAATCCCCCAAAAAAACTCCCGACCGCTACCGAAACGGCTCAAAGACATTCCCGAGCCCAACCTGGCTCCATTATGCCTCTCAGATGGCCCCAGATGAGACCACGACCGCCCGCGGTGTCGCCGTCCGCTCGGACCCCCCCGCGGAACTGCCCGAGACCCTCTGGCGCTGGCGGCGAACAGACACCAAACAAATATCACTCGCCTTTTAACCCCTTCGCAGCTTCTACTACCCCCAGATTGGCATAAACAAGGGGTCGGCGGTGTGGCGTAAGCCTAAGAATCTGAGTTCTCCTTCTGGAAGGGGGGGATCCTGATGGCGCGGACAAACGTGTTGGGATCCCAGGTGGGCAGCGCCCCGATCGCGTCGAGCGCGGCAACCCTAAGAGCAGCCGACGTGGCCCCCAACTGGGAGAGGAGGGCGACGAAGATGTGCGTTGCCGTCCACGTGGCATCGGTCGCTCCCGCATCCACGCGCGGCAGCGCGCGTGGCAGCAGTGCGCACGCATGAACTCGCACCTCCTCGGGGGAGAGCAAAGAAAGTCCCGATCGCGCTGCTCCCCGGAAACCCCTCCGGGCGTGCGTGTGGATCCGAACTTCGAGGCGCCTCCTGCCGTGGCGACGGGGGCCTCCCAGGAGGGCCCAGCAGCGCGAGAACGAGGGAAGGATGTAGGCGGCCACGCGCGAGCCCTCCCCCCACCCCCCACGAATTCCGAGGGGGGATGGGGGTTCACTCCGCTCGGTCGGGAGCTCCCGATCGAAGTGAACCCCCCCCCCTTAGAAATCATGGGGGGGGGGGTAGGGGTAGGGCTCGCATGTGGCCGCCGAGGGCACCTCGCCCTCCTCCGATCCTCGGCCTCGTGGTACAGGCAGTGGAGCGCGATCGTGCAGACCTCCTCGGACGTGCCCGCGTCGGCCTGGCAGCCGGCCGCCGCGCCCTCGCTTCGAGGAGGAGCGCCCTCGGCGGCCCTCGGCACGGCACGGAGGGCCTCGACGATGGCCCCCACCCTGGAGCGCGACATCGCCTCCCACAGGGCGCACGCGGCACCGCTCCTCGCGGGGGAAGTACCGCCGGTCGGAAGGAGCGGGTGGAAACACGAAGTAGGAAGGCGTTGGAAGTAGCTCGGGCTTCCGCCCGCCCCCCGGAGGCGAAGGGAGCAGAACGACCGCTCGACCGCTGGAGCAGGACGGCGCCCAAAGCAGATCGGGATCTGAGGATCCAGGAATGCCCACTTCCAGCGACCGACGTGTCTACACATGCAGTCCTCGCCTCCCCGTGCACCCCCCCTCCTCCGCCCTCCCCCGTCCTCTCCGCTCTCCTGGGAGGGGGGGGGGATGCACAGGCGGTGTACAATCGGCGTCGGCGGCACGGGCGCTTACGGGGATGCCAGGCCGTCGAAGCCGCACGCGCGCACCCCCCCCCCCCCGGCAGGGGGGGGCGGGAGGAGGTGGAGGAGGAGGAGGACGAGGAGGAGGAGGAGGAGGAGGAGGACCGATGTAAAACCAGGACTCATCAACGATGCCGGACTGAACCCTCCCTCCAAGCTCGCTCTTCATCGGCCCCATACACGGATTTAGTTCCCGTTGGGAGACAAGTGTTCGCAGATCAGGAAGCGTGCCAAAACACCGTTCTTGGAGCTCCAACACAATGAATCAAACTGACACTTGCGTATTGACGACCCTGAGTCGTGCCAGAACAACATTCCTGGGACTTCAACACAGCGACTCAACGTATTTGTTGACTCCTGACAGCTGTTCAAGACAAATGCGCGCGGCGCTGAGGCGAGAGCCACAGTTTACACATGGATCGCCCTCAACATTTGAAAGTATTGGAATGGTTTGGGACACATGTGCGCGGCGCTGGGGCGAGAGCCACATTTCGAAAACGACCCGCCCTCAATCCGTGAAGCTCCTGCAAATGTTTAACATACTCCTGCGCAGCAGTAAGGTGAGAACCACATGTTGTAAACGACCCGTCCTCAACCTGGGAAGCTCTGGCGCTGAAGCGAGAACCACATTTTGGAAGCGACACGCCCTCCATTTGTGAAACCGTCGCCAATTCATAAGCTTCAAGATCATGGACGGCAAGGAGGTCTGAGGCGAAACGCCCGGCCCGTCCTTCCGACGAGCCCCAGGGTGCGACAGGTTAGAGTGATTTGTAAGGACAAAGACTGGAGGAAGAACAGGAGGATGAGGAGGAGGAGGGGGAGGAGGAGGAGGATAGTTCCGTAGCAATGTTGGCTCAAGCCACTTTGGCTCAAGGCATTTGGGCTCAAGCCACCGGGGGAGAAGGGAGGAGGAGGGAGGAGGAGGAGAGGAGAGGAGGAGAAGGAGGAGGAGGAGGAGGAACGCGGGGACCGTCTCTTCAAAACGAGGACCCAACAACACAGGCTAGTTGGGAAAAACACACACACAGACTGTGGGGAAGTGTGGAAACACACACACACACACACATACACACACGCACAGTAGGGAACAAACGCACACAGTGTGTGTGTGTGTGTGTTTTCCCCACAGTGTGTGTTTGTTTCCCCACAGTGTGTGTGTGTGATTGATTGTGTGATTGTGTGATTGTGTGATTGTGTGATTGTGTGATTGTGTGATTGTGTGATTGTGTGATTGTGTGATTGTGTGATTGTGTGATTGTGTGATTGTGTGATTGTGTGATTGTGTGATTGTGTGTGTGATTGTGTGTGTGATTGTGTGTGTGTGTGGGTGTGTGTGTGGGTTTGTGTGTGTGGGTTTGTGTGTGTATGTGTATGTGTATGTGTATGTGTATGTGTATGTGTATGTGTATGTGTATGTGTATGTGTATGTGTATGTGTATGTGTATGTGTATGTGTATGTGTATGTGTATGTGTATGTGTATGTGTATGTTTATGTGTATGTGTGCGTTGCGGTGCGTGCGTCGTGCGTGCGTGCGTGCGTGCGTTGGCGTGTGTGTGTGGTGTGTTTGTTTTTGTTTGTTTGTTTGTTTGTGTGTTGTTGTTTGGGAGGGGAGAGGGGTGTTGTTTGTGTTTGTGTTTTCCACCAAAGACGTAAAAAACCTCCTCTGGCCAGGCACCGAGGGGCACCGTGGGGGCCCATGGCTTCTGCTTTCTACCCCCCACTGCCATAATGGTAGTTCCTGAAACCCACCACGACTGCGGACTTGAAGCCCAAAGGGCTACGGCCTTCTCCTCCTCTCCTCCTTCCTCCTCCTTCCTCATCCTTCCTCCTCCTCCTCTCTCCTCCTTATTCTTGGGGCCGTCCCCCCTCCTCCCCCCTTCCTCCCTCCCGTCTCCTCCTCCTCCCTCCTCCTCCTCCTCCGCCTCCTCCTCCTCGCGGTTTTTCCTCACAATTGGCGCGAACCCGCCGAGCCCCCATGAGATCCGACGCCGCGAAAGCATGCAACGTTGCGGCAAGTCACGGCCAGAAAAAAGAAAAACCCGAACCCATTTCTCCTCCCTATACTGCTGGCAGTTTCAAAGCAGGGTCGAATCCGTGATAAATTATCATCCTCCTCCCCTCCCTCTCCTCCTCCTCCCCCCCCCTCCTCCTCCTACTCCACCGCCCCAATCTCGTCCCCGTATGCCTGCTTTTCCCCCAACCTCCTCCTCACTTCCCTCCCCCCCTTCCTCCTCCTTTTCCTCCTCCCCTCCGCCTCCTCCTCCTCCTCCTCCTCCTCCTCCTCCTCCTCCTCCTACCCCTCCCCCTCCCCCTCCATCCGTAGCCATTTTGGCTCAAGGTTTTGGTTCCCCCTGGGAACTAAGTGGATACCGCTAGTCCGCGGCCAGCTTTCAACTTTCGCCTGGTTCGCCCCAGGATGAGCGGTGCGTGGTCCGCCCCACGCATCGCAGCTTTCACAACGACTAGGCTGTGCGCTGGTCGGTGGTCAGTCCATAGTGCCACTCCCTCGGCATGGCGTGGGGCAAGGCAAAAGGCGGAGGCAAGGGCTTGTCGCACAGCGATGTCTGGCCTCATCTGGTGCCTGGTCCTCTGTTCTGCAAGGGCGGCGGCGGTGTGCAGGATCATACAGGCAACCAGCTGCCAGGTAAGAAGTGGAAGTGCCAGGCTTGTGGTTGCTCCAAGAATGCCGCTAGGTTCTATTATTGCAAACACTGTGGAACCTATAAGCAAGTCCCAACTTCGGCATGGTCTGGTGATGCAGCGCGTCAGTTGTTCGGTTACGGGCAGCTCAACGGTGGCGCTGCGTGGGGCAAGGGTCCAGGCGGTGGCGAAGCAGGGCAGCAACAGAAAGGTGCTGGAGGTGGCTACCCCAAGGGAGGCGGCCAGCAACCCGTTCCTGCTGGTGCTGCTGCTGCAAAGTTCACCGCCGCGGAGTACGAGACCATGGCAGGCTTCGCTGAACGTATGGGAGACGCTGCAGGCGCAGCAGCTCATCGTCGTGCAGCCAAGGCCCTCGCCGCGCCGAAGCAGGCAGAAGAAGCTATTCAAGTTCGTCTCAATCGGGCTCACTGGAAAGTGCATGGGATCAACAAGCGTCTGGAGTCGGCAGTTGAGAAGTACGAACAGTACGAAGCTCAGCTCAACAACCAGAAGACGATGGTGCTGGAGCTGCGCGCGGAGCTCACCAATGCAGAAGGCGAGCATTCGACTCTCTTGCAGGATTTGGTTGAGTCTCAAGAGGCAGCTAATCAGCCACCCACGGCCACGGTCAAGCTTGCGTTGGAGGACATCATGGATCAGGAGCGTCTCGCGAAGGTCTTTGACATCAGCGTGTCGGACCTGTTCAAGTGCGACGGTGTGGAGCTTGACGAGTCGGACAACATCGAGATCGAGTCACGTGTGCAACAGCTCAAGGCAGGGCCCACGGCGATGGCGGGCACCCTCTTCGCCGAGGCCAAGCAGAAGGTCGACGGCCTCAAGTCCGCCCACGCGCTGCACATCAAGAGGCTTGCGGCTAAGCGGCCTCGAGTGGTGGAGCAGGAAGCGGCCTTCGAGGAACCTCCTGATGCAGGTGCACACGCTGAAGGAGATGAGGGCGCTGGAGCAGCTCCAGGTGGTGGTGGCGCAGCAGCGTCAGGCGCAGCGGGCGCTGCGGCAGCGGCTCCGTCCACGCCTTCTACGACAGGCACGGCTCGTGAGCGCGCTGACCGCATTGCCGCTGCCACTCACACAGTCAACGATTAGCTACCCCCTGGAGGCTAGCCCTGATGCTCGTCGCCTCCTCGGGTCGTCGTTTGATTGGGGTCCGCAGGTCCTTCGCTCGGAAGGCTGCCTCCAGGGGGGGGGGTTGGAGCAGGTTTTTTACCTCTGCACACGGAGCTCCGCTCAGTAGCGCAAGATGCCCTCATCCGCAAGAGGGGTATGTTTCGACGCAAGGCTGATCGGACCCCTGTCTCTGCCCCTGTGTCTTTGCTGGACTTCGCGAGGCCAAGGGTTTTGTATCCTGTTCACTCCCTTGGTAAGTCTGCGCGCAAGGATGCCACGGACGGGGCTGTCCCGCACGCGGCCACTTCTGTTTGTCCCCCCATGAAGGGGGGATCTCGTCCCCGCGTTGAGCTCGTCGCTCTCGGAGATTTTAAGCCAGGACGCTCCAAGGGCAAATTCGAACCCTTGGATTCTCAGAGGGCTCAGCACCCCTCTGACTGTTTCAATTCGACAGCGCATTCGGTCAGCAATGTCAGCCTGCCTGTGCCTGCTCCTCTCGTCGGCAGCGAGCAGCCATCGGCCTCTAACTCTGACAGTATGGTGCCACTCACGATTCAGACCATTAACGCCAACTCGTGGGGCACGTTGAAGGGTTTGCTCGGAGATTGTTATGCCCACATTGTGCTCGGTCAGGAGCACCGTCTGATTTCCAAGGAGGACATCGAGCAGGCCAGTGCTTGGTGCATAAGGCATGGATGGAAGTCGGTTTGGGCCCCTGCTATCCCCACCCAAGCACGGGACACGAGTGGAGGTGTTGCCATTTTCGTGCGCTCTTGGATGGGGCTTCTGGAAGTCGAGGGCGCCATCACGACGCCTGGGCGATGCATCGCGTGCTCTGCGCACCTCCCTGGGGCTCCCCCCATCCTGGTTGCCTCTGCCTACCTTCACCACTCAGAAGGCCTCAGCGATGATAATCTGTCTCTGCTCGCGAGGCTCGGTGAGCAAATTTCGGCTGTTGGCCAGCCGTGGGTGATCGGCGCCGACTTGAATCTGGAGCCTGCTGAGCTCGAGTCTTCCAGTTTTGTGTCTGAGTTGAGGGCTTCCCTCATCTTCCCCATTGTCGCGACGCACTATCCTGTGGGCCCTCCCACGACGTTCGACTACTTCGTTTGTTCGGGCGGTCTGGCGAAGGGTCTCAAGTCGGTCGACACGAGATTGGGTACGGAGCTCTCCCCCAACAGGCCCTTCCAGTTGGCGTTCCACCCCCAGCTGGCTGTGCTTCACGCTCTCTCGTTCAGGAAGCCTCCCCCCCTGCCGTGTCAGGTGGTGTTTGGCCCTGCCCCCAGAGAAAGTTGTTGGGCTGGGGAACTTGCGCTGGCGTCCGAGGCTGAACGTTGTCTTCAGAATGGAGACGGTCAGGGGGCCAAACGTCTTCTGGGCCCTCGTTACAGGAAGTGGGCCGACCACGCTGAACGTGACCTCATTCCTCTGGTGGGTGTTGCCCCCCCCCCAAGCTTGGCTCCAGGGGCCTGGGTCCTCAACTTGTGTGGAAACCTATATTGGGCCAGGATGGTAAGGTGCGCTACCCTGGTCATCGCGCGATCCGTTGGCTCGGGCAACAGCTTCGCGCCTTCATGCACGCTCGGCGCGGAGGCGCTGCTGCCGCTGCTGCCAGGCTCAGTTGCGTGTTGGTGGAGCCCCCGCCCAGCATCACGGCCGCGGTGGAAGACTACGAGCCGCTGTTCAAGCGAGCGGCTCAGGAGGTCTCCGCCCTTGGCTCCGGTGGGGATGTGGAGTCGCTCGCTGATCTGTACACTCAGGTTCACGAGGCCGTCAAGGACGCCAGCTCCAAGAACGCCGCCAGGAGTCGATCAGACTGGGCTGATTTCCTGCATGTTGGCATCAATCAAGGGGCTAGAAGGGCGCATCAGTGCATTAATGATCCTGTTCCGTGGGTCCCTTCTTCGACTCTCTCTGCTGCTGGGTGCGTCGTCAGCGATCCTCTCTCCCTGCTCAAGGCGGAGGGAGAAAGGTTCAGCAGCATATGGGGTGAGGGTCGAGGGGCCGAGTTTGACGGTCAGGTCGTTGAGCCTCTTTCCCGACCCACGGCCAGCGAAATCCGCGCGATCTCTAAGTCCTACAAAGATTCTTCGGCTGTGGCTGTGGACGGATTTCACTGCAAGCATTTCTCTTTGTTGCCTGATGCTGCTCTAGAGTGCCTCAGTGCCATTTTTTCTGTCATGGAAGCGCTAGGCTGCCTTCCCCCGCAGATCTCTGTCGTCACTCTGGCGCTTCTGCCGAAGCCAACTGGTGGATACAGGCCGATTGGGGTGTTCTGCTCCTGGTTCAGGGTTTGGGGCCGCTGTCGGCGGCCCTTTGCCTTGAACTGGGAGCAAGAACACCCCGAACGGTACTGGGCTGCTGGTAGGTTTCGCGGAGCTGCCGATGTGGTTTGGCGTCAAGCTGTCACCGCCGAGACGGGTCTTGCCATCGGGGAGTCCTCCTGTTCTGTTCTCTTCGATCTGCGTAAGTTATATGAGAACATCAGTCTGAAAGAGCTCGAGGCCCGTTGCAAGAAACATGGATTCCCTCTTGCGATTGCCCGTCTTTGCATTTATGCCTACAGGTGTGGGCGCTTTCTCGGTCTTGGAGGGTGGCTGGAAGGCCCCTACTTCTGCCTGAATGGGGTTATCGCTGGGTGCTCGATGGCCACCACGTCCATTCGGGTCTTTTGCCAGGGCGGATACGATTCTCTTCCTTCCATCCCCAGGCTCGACCCCGATGTGTATATCGACGACCAGGGTCTCTCGTGCACGGGCCAACATCGGACCGTGGTCAAATCGATCGTCGAAGGGGCCAAGGCGCTCCACGGCATTGTTGAGTCTTGTTTCGGTTGCTCCTTCGCCCTGGGCAAGACCGCTGTTGTCGCTTCCTCGAAGGCCCTTGGGGATGGAGTTTCTGTTGAGATTTCGCATTTAGGAGGTAATTTTACGTCGAGCGCTGTCAACTTAGGCGTTGACTGCGCGGCTGGCCGCGCGCTCAGGGTGGCGGGGCGCTCGGCGAAGTCCAAAATGCGCATCGCCAAGGCGGTGGGGGCGGCCAAGAGATTAAAGCGTCAGATTAAAGTCATCTCTCGGCCGCAGGTTCTTAGGGCGTTCTCCTCGGGGCCCCTCGCGGGGGCCTCGTATGGCGCGGAAATTACTGGCGCCAGCGACCTCGAGTTGCTTCGCCTCCGTCGTCAAATTTTCTCGGTGGTCCGACCTCGATCTCAGTTGAGATCCCTGACGACGGCGGCTTTGCTCGATAATGATCCGTGCTGGCGCACTGCCACCGCCCCCATCCTCCGTTGGTCCAAGGAGATCTGGCTGGCCCAGACTGGGGCCTACGCTTGGGGTTTGGGTTTTCCCTCGCTGCGTCGTGCGTGGGAAGCTGTGTTCTCCAACCCTGCCTGCTCCTGGAGAGCGGTCGCGGGCCCAGTGTCGGCCCTTCGGATGTCCCTGGTTCGGCTGGGCTGGCGCATGGACAACTTCATGACGGTGCGAGATGAGCGTGGCTTCTCTATTCCCCTCGGCATTATCTCGCCTGCCTTATTCAGGATTTTGCTCAAGGACGGTTATTTTAGGATGTTGGAACGTCTCTCCGCCGAAAAGAGGGGAGTGCTCCCCAGGATATGCTATGATGTGCTGCGCGAGGCCCTGGCCTCCAAGAAATACACGGCCCTACAGAAGGCCCACGTTAGAGCGTTCGCCACCGAAGCCTTTTTCACCAGAGATCGCGCTGTGAGCTTAGGCTACCTCGTGGACGGCAGTTGCCCGTTTTGCGGCACCTCGGACACGATCTTCCACAGGTTGTGGGAGTGCCCCCACGAGCCAGTGGCTGAGCTTAGATCCTCTCTAGTTGAAGCTAGTACTGTAGCCGAAGCCTTAGCAGCTAAGGACGACGAGGAAGCTGTGTTCGTTTTCATTTCTGGGGCTTTCCGCCACCCCGCCGATGGGCACCCCAGGCCCCTCACTGAGACGGGCAATGGCCCGTTTCTTGTGTGGCACCACCAAGATATCTCGTCGCCCTCGGGGGCTAAGCCTGGCATTGAAGTTTGGGGTAGCGTTTTCATCGACGGGTCTAGCAGCCGTCACTCTGTTCGGGAGCTCTCCAGGGCTGGCTGCAGTGTGGTGATGGTCGATGATCAAGGGTCGGCCGTCGCCGAGTTTCGGGCCCCAGCTTGGGCCCCATATCCTCAGACGCCTCAGTCGGCCGAGTTCAGCTGCTGGACTTGGGCCAATGTGCTCGCGTCGGCCTGCATAGATGTGTTCTCTGATTGCAGCAATGTGGTCAATCTAGCCTGTAGGCCCAAGGCCGAGCAGCTGTGTGGGAAGAGGGCTTACGCTGGGGCTTTCCTCCAACTCTATGCCCAAGGTATCTCGCCTTCCACGTGCACAAAAGTCGCAGCTCACAAGGAGCTGGATGAGGCGGGTATCGACGCTGCTGAGCGCTGGAGGCGCCTCGGCAACCATCATGCGGACGCGGCAGCCAAGCACGCAGTGCATCTTCATCCTTCGTGTCCAGACAAGCTAGCGGCTGCTGATAAGCTTGTCACGCAGGCACGCCAGACTATCAGGCTGGCGGCCCATGTTTTGCATGTGTGGCCTGCCTTGGACCTCTCCGAGGTAGGACGAAGTCCTGCCCCGCATGCCGCTGCCGCTGCGACCGCAGGGCATCGCTGGGAAATGTGGTCTGGAGTGTGGCGCTGTGCTGTTTGCCTTAGAGGCAAGCGATCGCAGAGCAGGCCCTTGCCAGGTGTCTGTTCTCAGGTTTCTCGGTTTCACGCGTCCAGTCAGGACGCCCTCGAGCACCGTACGATTGCGTTCGACTGCTCTGATGGCTCGGTTTTGTTTATTTGTACTAGGTGCAAGGCTCATTCCAGTGGAGCCTCTGTCCGCGGGTTAGCCGCCAAGTGCCAGCCGCCTCCGTCGCGCGCAGCGAGGTACGGCTGGGAAGCCCTGTGCAAAGGCAAACACCCGCATTACAGGCAACAGAAAGCGGGTGTTACGGTTGATGTAGGCAATATTATGCAGTGCTTCAACACGTATGCCTAATTTTATTCACAGGCCTGCTGCACCGCCTCGTTGCAGCAGGTGTCAGTTCCTTTTAAAGGACTCAGAGGAGGGCGTGGAGCCCCCCCCCCAAAAAAAAAAATCTCCCTCCCCCTCCCCTCCTCCTCCTCCTCCTCCGCCTCCTCCTCCTCCTCCTCCCTCCTCCTCCTCCTCCTCCTCCTCCCTCCCCCTCCTCCCCCTCCTTCTCCTCCTCCCCCTCCTCCTCCTCCTCCTCCTCCTCCTCCCCCTCCTCCTCCTCCTCCTCCTGAGGCCCTGCGACGCCAGGACCTCCAGGCCTTTTTGTCGCCCCCCCCCTCGTGGCGTCCCGCGGGCGCCAGCATCATCGGACCCGCCGCAGCGTGGGGTTCCGGCGCCGGCCTCCGCAACGTCGCGAGCCTCTGGAAGTCCATGGCCGCCTTGGAACCGGCCTCCTCCTTTACCTCCTCCCCCTCCTTTTCCTCCTCCCTCCTCTTCCTCCTCCTTTTCCTCTTCCCCCCTCCTTTTCTTTCCTCCTGGCATCCTCCTCCTTCCTCCTTTCACTCTTCCTCCTCCTCTTCCTCCTCCTGGCATCCCCCTCCCCCCTCCTGTTCCTCCTCCCCCTCCTCCTCCGTAGCCGTTTTTTGCTCAGTCGGAGATGAAGTTCACGGTGAACCACGTGGATGCCGCTTTTCCGCGGCAGTTCTGGGCCTCGCTCGCGCTTCCTGGTTCGACATCCGCTCGCGTTTCCTGGTGCGACCCAGGCTAGCGCCTGCACCTGTTCACTCGGGGAAGCAGCCAGTTGTTCTCCAGAGGTCTGACGGGGCGGCATGGCAAGGCTTGGGACACTTGCGAGTATGACAAGTGGAGCTACAACTGGCGTATCACCGACAATGACTGCAAGCGCGTCCTGACTACTTACCAGACCACCCCAACCCAACCCGAAGACCCGAATTTCGGGTGGGGAGGGGGTAAAGCTCCCACCCGTGTTTTGCCCATGTTCCCCGATCCCCCCCGCCCACACTGGAAACGAAGGGTAAATCGAGGCATTCGGGTTGGGTTGGGGTGGATTGGTGGGTGGTGACGTCCACTGCCATGCCCCAGTTTGGGACGCCCGAATTGGTACTGAAACAATAGGCACAATTCCCAACAACAACCGTTGCCCCAAACCAATAGCGGCCGCTGTTGGGCAGGCGGCCGTCTGTCTGAAGTGGACACAGGCCGCGGCGGCGCGGACAGCGAGTCCTGTCCAAAATGAACAGGAACTGCTGTTGGGCATTGTACCCATTCTTTCCGTACAGATCTCGTTCGTGCGGACACGGGGAATGAAGGGTAAATTGAGGCCTTCGGGTGGGGTTGGGGTGGTTTGGTGTGTGGTGACGTCCACTGCCATGCCCCGGTGGACCAGTGGCAGCGGGACGCCACCAAGTCAAGGCTGCCTCCTCACGGGGCGCCGTGGGCGGATCACGGCCGGCACGCTGCCTGGCTGCTCGAAGATGGCCTGAGCCCGCCGCGGGGGATCTACGATACGTTACATCGAAGCAGACATGTGTTTGTCGGGCGTTTGCGAGCAGGCACTTTGCGAGTCGTGGAACGCGCTCGGTGGGTGGATGGTGTGTCGCGCCGAAACGTGGTGGGCCAGAACCGGCGGAGCGGCACGCCAAGACGAAGTGCCTGATCGTATGTGCCCCGCCCACGCCCATGCAGCTCTGCGGCGAGCCTGCTCCGGCACAGACCCGAAGAACCTCACGCTCTGAGGGCTTCCTGGCCGCGCGCGGTTATCTCCTCCTTCTCGTGTTCTCTTCTCCTGGACACCGTGCCAAAATTAGCTCCCCTTGCGTCCCGGCGCTGCCCGCCCGCCACTCGGATACGAGACGCCGCCGACCTAAAGCTTCCCGCCCACGACCCCCCCGCGCAGAGGCACCGCCGACGCATCGATGCTGCGTTCGCCGATGCATCGACGGCGCACCCGCCGACGCACCGACGAGCACCGGCGTGGTGCGTTCGCCGGTGCGTCGGCGGTGCATCGGCGGCGTCGGCGGTGCGTCGGCGGCGCCGGCGTGGAGGAAATCGGGCTCCACACCGATCTGCATCGCCGATACATCGGCGGTTCGGCGCAATCCTCCGACCCCATCTCCCGCGGGGTCGTGTCGTTCCGCTCCCGGCGCTGGTTCCTGACACCTGACCCCGCGGGAACCGTTCAACCTTGAACGGGCGGCTGTTTCTGACTACCAGACCACCCCAGCACAACCCGGAGACCCGAACTTCGTCCGAATTTCGGGTTGGGGGGGGAAGGGTTTCATATGTTTTTCCCCTGCTCCCCGACCCCCCCCCCACCGGAAATGGAGAGCAAATGATTTGCTCTCCATTTCCGGTGGGGGGCCCAACGAAGGCCCCGATTTAATCGGGTCCTTCGGCTTGGGTTGGGGTGGTTTGGTAGGCGGTGAGTCTCCGAAGCATCAGATGGTTCAACATCGACCGACCCTGGGTCGCCGGCGGCGCTCAACGTTGAACACCAGCGGCGGGGTCGCGGCCGGTCGACACGACGCGAACCTGCCGCACTCGGGCCCCATCCGGGGAGCCCACGGCCCTCCGCATGGCCTCCGAGCCCAGGCAGCCGCCGCCGTCTGCTTTTGGACCCCACGTGAGAGTGAGACGGAGCCAAGACGAGGACATGATCGGGTGAGGATAAATCGGGAATCTCTGAGATATGGCTGCTCTTGAGTTCTGTGATTCCCATCGCACTTCAGGACCACCCCAGAAATAATTCTGGAGCACCCAGAAAAGGTGTCGAAAAAGTGTCTGCCCGACACGCGAGCGAAAAGTCGGATGAGTATAGCCTCCACGGGCCCGACACGTGAAATCCCTCCAGTTTGGGTACTCTCCTGGTGCTCGGAACTTCCTGCTGGTGTTCCAGGCTAGAGCAGGTCGGGACATAATAACTCGGGCACCGCTGGGTGTGTTATGTGCTGTGTGTGCTGTGTGTGCTGTGTGTGTTGTGTGTTGTGTGTTGTGTGTTGTTGTGTGTTGTGTGTTGTACGTTGTGTGTGGGCTGTGTGTTGTGTGTGTGTGTTATGTAGGTTGTGTGTGTTGTGTGTTGTGTGGTGTGTCATGTGTGTTGTGTGTTGTGTGTTATGTGTTGTGTGTTGTGTGTGTTGTGTGACGTGGGTTGTGTGTGTTGTGTGATGTGTGCTGTGTGTGGTGTGTGATGTGTGTGTTGTGTGTTATGTCTGGTGTGTGTTGTGTCTGGTGTGGGTTGTGTGTGTTGTGTCTTGTGTGTTGTGTGTTGTGTGTTGTGGGCTGTGTGTTGTGGGTTGTGTGTTGTGTGTGTGCTGTGTGTTGTGTGTTGTGTGTTGTGTGTTGTGCCTTATGTGTTGTGTGTGTTGTGTGGTGTGGGTTGTGTTGTGTGGCGTGTGCTGTGCGCTCTGTGCGAGGAGACCTCGGGCGCCGCGGCCTTCCCCGGAGCGCCCCAGAAGGCTCGGAGGGCGCTCCGCGGGCTGCTCGGCTCGCGGAGGCCTCCGCGTGCCCGTCCGGCTCCGGGAGGCGCAACGCGCCGCGGCCCCTCGCCTGCCCCCCGGGAGAAGCCCCAGCTGCGGCACCCATACCGCTGCTCTCTTACGTCGGGCATGTCCTCCTACAGGGGAAGCGTGGCAGAAACAACAACAACAACAACAATTACTAGCACGTGGGGACACTCCGTTCTCACCAGTGCCAGGGTTTTCATAGGAGGCGGGCAATACCCCCACTTTGTGGGGAGCCGGTTCAAGCTCTACCACATTTCCAAACGACTCTTCGCCACCACCCACACCCAGCTTCCCGCCCTATGACGTTCGGACACCTCACTTCGTGGCCTGCGGACGACCTTGGCTACTACACTGGCGCATGGGTACAATGACTTGTTGTGGTAACATTTTCTGTAAGCTAGCTTAGTATACGACTTTTCCCCCTGCAATTGAAGATTTCGGCGTGCGCGCGCGAAGAAAAAAACGAATGTGTCCCATATGGTATTATTTGACAGGGATGATGGCCCTGGCAGGCGCGCAACCGTTGTTGCAGAAGTTCGAAGCACGTGAAAAAGTTGCTCGCAAGAGCCCGTTTGACAGAAATGTTGAAAAAGTAGTGGGTTTCCTAACAAATCCGCAAGAGCGCGCGGGATGAATTTTTGAAACTTTTCTTTTTGAAAAACCATTGGGTTTTTTCATGTTTTTTATGTTAAAATCGCTACGAAAACTAAGGTTTTGGAAGGATTTCATCTTGCGCGCGCGAGTGTGCACTTCGTGTCATTTTTTGCAGAGGATTCTTGAAGTTTGGTTATGTTAGAACAAGACATGTCATTTTATATTGTTTTTTGAAAGGGAAAGCGGGCGTCAACAAAACAACTGGATCCGGACTCCCCCGTTTTGCCTGAGACTTCCTCACGAAAATGATGAAAATGTGGCTGCGGCCTAGGCGCGGCGAGGGGGGCGTGCACCAGGGGGCCCAACAATAATTATTCTTTAAAAGTAATAATATTCAACAACAACAACAAGAATTACTAGCACGTGGGGACACTCCGTTCTCACCAGTGCCAGGGTTTTCATACGACGCCCGCCAATACCCCCACTGTGTGGGGGGGCCAGTTCAAGCTCTACCACATTTCCAAACGACTCTTCGCCACCACCCACACCCAGCTTCCCGCCCTATGACGTTCGGACACTTCACTTCGTGGCCTGCGGACGACCGTGGCTACTACACTGGCGCATGGGTACAGTGACTTGTTGTGGTAACATTTTCTGGACGCTAGCTTAGTATACGACTTTTCCCCCTGTTCCAACACTGGACACCTAATGGTTTTTGAAGATTCGTATGGTTTTATGTTGCGCGGTGCTAAAATTCCTAAGAAACCCAATGTTTTTTGAAGATTTCGGCGTGCGCGCGCGAAGAAAAAACGAATGTGTCCCGCATGGTATTATTTGACAGGGATGATGGCCCTGGCAGGTGCGCAACCGTTGTTGCAGAAGTTCGAAGCACGTGAAAAAGTTGCTCGCAAAAGCCCGTTTGACAGAAATGTTTTAAAAAGTGTTGGGTTTCCTACAAATCCGCAAGAGCGCGCGGGATGAAATGTTGACACTTTTTTTGAAAAACCATTGGTGTTTTTATGTTTTATGTTAAAATCGTTACGAACACTAAGGTTTTGGAAGGATTTCGTCTTGCGCGCGCGAATGTCCACTTTACCTTATTTTTTGCAAGGGATTCTTGAAGTTTGGTTATGTTAGAACAAGAAATGTCCACTTTGCCTTATTTTTTGCAAGGGAAAACCGCCCGCCCGTAACAAAACAACCGGATCCGGACCAACCCGTTTTGCCGGAGACTTCCTCACGAAAATGATGAAAACATGGCTGCGGCCTAGGCGCGGCGAGGGGGCCGTGCACCAGGGGCCCCAACAATAATTATTCTTTAG